GGATCAATAGCTATCTTTTCCCCAAAAGTGTTCTCATCTTAGTCCTCTATTTTTCACATACGCTAACAACACTTTCTAATGATAGGTATGCTGGATTCCATCAGTCTTAAACAGTGGTTTTCAGGGAGGTCTTCACTGGATTCAGTACCTCTCACAGTAGACTCTGTTCCTAGTTTCTAGAAATGACTTGTGTTGAGTCTGGCCTCTACTGTAGGTAAGGAGCTAAATTGTACTTTCCAAGAGATCTCCTTCTAGGACTGCTGTATAAATAAGCACTCATATATAAATAAAGTGTTCAATAGAATTTTAAAAAAATAGAGTGAGGCAAAAGGGGGAAAAGAATACCAACAAGACCATATCTCTGTACCTTGCACATACCAGGCACATACACAATAATTCATTTTCCAGAGCCCAATAGATCCCCAGCTTAAAAACGCTAGACAATGCGAATCAAATGTAAGTATTGCAAAATGAAGACTCTCACCATAAATCACCTCTTGCCGTTTGACCACATCCTTCTTTTGCTGTTTCAGAAACTTGCTGTCCACAATCCGACTCCAGGACTCTGCTTCCAGCTGTTTGGAATCAATCTCAAAGTCTCCCATTAGTTGTCCTTCATTCATGTCTGTACCTACTCCTCAAAATACCAAAAAGTCAATATCAGAATCTTGGGTTTGTGACCTCTGAAAAGCCTATGCTGGATTTCCCTCAGGGTGATGGGTGACTCTGTAAGACACGAACACGCTGCACTAATACAGGGGATGTTCATGGAGAGGATATTCCAGTAGTAGAAAAGAACCAGTGGTCTGTTTGGGAGGTACAGGCTCTGTATTCAAGACCTTGGTTAAGACTGATAAACATCGTATACATTAATAATTAAGACATGACTCCTACATGAAATAGGAGTTAGAAGGGACCTGGTGGTTTTACATGTTTAAGAAAATAGGCTTACGAGTGTGCTGTGAGATCTGGAATTGAATGTGTACAATAGTCTAGAGAAAGAAAAAGCATTTGTACTAAAGATATGCCCACATTAAAATCAATGACATCCTTCAGTGGACAAATAATAGGGTACGTTTGATTATCAGTTCATAATAAAGCAGCTGAGGCTTAACAGACTACTTACAGAATCTTCACACGATAAGGAGGAGGCAGGCCCTATTATTCCATCAACACTTCTACTCTAGGTTAATCGCGCACAGTCTCTACGGAGGCATAAAATAGAGGCGACAACTTCTTACCCTCATCAGTAAGTGATTCTGTTGACTCATTGACCTTGCTGATTTTATTTAGTGAGTCTGTTGAATGAGACAGGAATTTCCAGGTGTTTGACATGTTCTCATCATTGCCAACTCTGTGGACAAAAAGAAGTACATACTGTTAAATACACTCTGATAAGCTTGAGTTTGTATTCCTTAATGAGTACTTGAAAAATTCTAAAATGACAGCTGGCTGAAAGTACTACAGTGACTGAAGACAGAGTTACTTATGTAAGGTACACAGCAACATGCCACACAAAATGAAGTTTGGAAGCATTTAATATTACGGTTAAGTCAAAACTTTTTGGACGTTTTGCGCTTTTGTTTTTTTTTTTTGAGAGAGTCTCTGTTGCCCTGGATAGAGTGCAGTGGCATCATTATAGCTCACTGCAACCTCAAACTCCTAGGCTCAAGTGATCCTCCTGCCTCAGCCTCCAGAGTAGCTGGGTCTACAGGCATGTGCCACCATGCCTGGCTAATTTTTCTATTTTTAGTAGGGATGGTGTCTCGCTTTTGCTCAGGCTGGTCTCAAACTCCTGACCTCAAGCAATCCTCCCACTTCTGCCTCCCAGAGTGCTAGGATTACAGGTGTGAGCCTCTGTGCCAGACCGAGCACCTCCCTTATTTTTTTTTAATGATATGAAGCAAGGAGAACTTCTCCCCCTTAAACCATTTACACTTAAACATTATGTAAGAAATTTCTCAGCTTAAAACTTATTGCCTGACCACTACACTATTTTCCCCCTGTTCTCTAAATAACTATACACTGAGCACTTATAATAAACTATATTCTTTGGACTTTATCAACTCCAAATCACCAACTAGTATAGTAGGCGCCAATAAATGTTTGTTGTTTGACACAAAAACAAGCAAGAGTCCTTTAAAACCTTAAATTTAATTTAAAGAATAACTTTTCAAAGTCACAATGCAAATAAACTTTAGTAACGTTACAACTCTAAAAAGAAGGCTTTTGGGGATAATGAAAATACAAAGACAAATAAAACAAAACACAAATACCTGAAACTTTTTTTTAAGGAGGAAGAAACATTAGCCAGCACAGAGGTTAGGAAATACAGACAAAAAGAGACTTTGCATCCTTTAGTTATGAATTTTCCATCAACCTAGGTAAAGAGACATGTAAGAGGTGTTTCAAGTCCTACATTTAAGATGACTTATTTACTTGGTGGGAAGGCCAGGCATCTTACCTAAAACAGTCAATCACATCATAATCAGCCCTGTGCTAACCACCTGACAGCGAAGGCCTGGCCAGGGGATCATGAAAGAACTCAGTGCAAATGAGTGAGTGGGAATCCAGCAGTAGTAAATGGCTCGTGACGCACCTCCATGAAACTGATGAGAGTTAAGAGGCAAGGATGGAAAAAGGACTTAAAGAGAAATAAAACAACCTGGTTTACCTGAACAACAGAAAAGTGTAACATCTGAAAATCTAAGTGGCTGCAACCAAAAATTCAGAATGAAATCATCTTTTTTCCTATTCCTACTTCTTATTTTGATCTAAAATCATCTTTTGAGAC